TTTTTTTTATTGAAAGATAAATATATTAATAATTCACTACCAAAATTTCAGATCAATTTACCGCACTGTTTTTGAGTAATTAATTTTTGAAATTGCATTTTTTACACGTAGAGGTATAGAGAGATGGTAAAGTTAGTATGAAATCTTCCGTACCACTCGAGTGGGCCAAAGATTTCATACTAACTTTACCATCTCTCTATACCTCTACGTGTAAAAGATGCGATTTCGAAAATTAATTACTCAAAAACGGTGCGGTCAATTGATCTGAAATTTTGGTAGTGAATTATTAATATATTTATCTTTCGATAAAAAAAATTTCATAACTTTCTGTTGAAATGCCTTTCACGCTACAACTACCTTAAAATAACTCTATGAATGGTCATTCCGACGATATTTTTCACTTCGCATATGTCTTAATAACATGTAGTGGTATTTAATTGATGTTTTATTGTTAAATAAATGAAATGAAATGATGTGATGAATAGTATTGTCTCAAGAGAAACTATTCTAATCGAAATATATTCAAAATATTTGAAAAGAAAAAATTTTGAACATGTTAGTAATTTAATAAATTGAAAGTAAAGTTTCTCATACTGAAATACGTTTTATCGCATTGAATAAGGTTTCCAATAAAAGTTATCGGAACTTGTAAGAAAATTTTATTCTATGCACGCAGAAAAACATTTTGTTAAAATAACTTAAGATATGTTATGGTAACAAATGAATTTGTTAACATAGGGATAACAAATCATATGTTAAAATAACAAAATTTAGGTTATGACAAGTTATTAATATGTTATATCAACAAAACAGTTTTGTTGCTATAGCAAAATCTTGAAGTTGATTCGACAAAATACTTTAGTTGGTATAACAAATTTTTTTGTTGAAACAGCAAAATTATTCTATTAAAATAACAAAGAGAATTTGTTGGAGTAACAAAGACAATTTGTTGAAGTAATAAAGAGAATTTGTAAGAATAACAATGAGAATTTGTTGAAATAACAAATAAATTTGTTACAGTCAATTTACATTTAAAAAGCAACAAATTAGTTTTGTTATTGCAACAAAATTACCTTGTAACAGCAACAAAATCATTTTGTTGCAGCAGCAAAGTCATTTTGTGATAGCAACAAAATGATTTTGTTAGAGCAACAAATTTACTTTGTGATTTAACAAACTGGTTTGTTAGTACAACTTGAAACATTTTGTTAATGCAACTAATGGATTTGTTGCTATCACTATACTCATTTGTTACCAGAACATATTTTTCAGTTATCCCGTCTTTTGTTATTTCAACAAAATCGTTTTTATGCGTGTGGAGATTCGACAATTTTTAATTTATTTTTCCTTGCTCCGACAAAAACAAAATTAAGTTCGAGAAAATAAGTTTTAAGTTGCCATTAGTTACTAGATATAGTCGGGAGTAATGAAGATTTTCATATGCACGTGAAACCAGTTCCATGAGTTTGCTCGAGCGGCTAAATATTTTTTTAATTTCTTTCTGTTGACTTATATAGATATAATATTTAATATATATTATATGCCATGCTATGTTTATGTTATTTATTACACATTATATCCTTTCGTCAAACACTTTTTTGAAATTTATAAAACATTAAAAAATGCAACAAGTATCATTAATTTTTAAAATAGTAATATGTAATATAGTATATTATTTAAACTGATACTTTCTATTTTCATCTATATTCATAATAACGTCATTCCAATATAATCCAAGGTGATTGGTGACTACAGGAAAAGGATTTATGCCTACACGAGTTCTTGTCTTTCTTTATATCACGTTTCAACAATATAATATTCTTGGCATTAATGCACCGACATTGTCAAAGTGTTTGACCAAGCAGCATCTTTTGTGTTCTTGGAAATAACTGAACAAACAAGTCTTCACTCTCGAATTAATAATCCACTTGAGCTTGGAATTTTAACCATTTAGACTGCGACTACAAATTTTAAGTAACAAATTTTATTATCATTGCAACATCGTAACATATTTCAAATTGTAAATAATGGTTAAGTATCATAGCTAAAAAAAAAAAAAACAATAAACTCGTGAAATATATTTTCAAACTTTTTTAACTGTATGTGCAATGCATTGACTAAAGCCAACGAAAGAGGTAAAAAAAATTTCCACTGCACAAATGAATTTAATTTAATGTAAAAAAGTTACATCGTTCGGACTGAAACACAAATTAAATCGAGCGGTATTGCATACACATATACGTGTTAGTTTTACAAACTAAAAGAACATTACGAGTGTTTATAGTTCACATGCAAATCCGATGTACTACATTACCTTTTGTCAAAAAACGAATGAAAAAAAAAAGGTATAAATTCACCGTAGTTTTGAATTCATGTCATAAAATATAAATATCCTTTACACGAATGTATAATGTAGGACCTAAATGCATCGACCATTTAATCGTACATAAATAAGGTATGTACTAAATATAACGCGGGGCAGCGCCTATTCAGAAAATCAGTATATTTTAAAGTTTTTATTATTAAAATTATAAAAAAATGTATGGAAATTTCTTAAGAATTTTTTGAGGTGCAAAAGCATTAATTTACTTGAAGGTATTTTAAAAAGCAAAATATTTGAGTAGTAAAGCGGCATAATATTTAAATTTAATCATCACATGAAGCAAGTCTTTTGTTTGTCCGGTATAATATGGTATACGAAAAATATGATTGACGACGACGTCACGGTCGCGTAATTATTGTTATTATCGTAATCGGACGAAGACATTTAATCGTACGCAGATACAGAGTTGGCTCTCATCCTCGGCTCTCTTGATTCGCGGAGAAGATGCGTCGAACGGTTATAGTCTATCTTTAAGAGAAACCAAGTCTGACATTCACTTCACGCCATGTATACTTACGCTCGCAGGTTCTTCATATTTACCACGACATTGGTGAACATATACAACTTAACAGCACGGTTAATTGCCATCACTCATTTACATAGCAAGCTTGCTCTTACTAAGACTACTGATCACTTTAGTTTATCCAAGAACAAGTGGAACATTTTTTGATCGTCTTTCTTATATTCTTTTTTTATTTATTATTTTTTTCCTCGGAATAAAAAATATCAAGCCTTAAATTTAAAAGAAGTAGTAATGGCTTTTATTAAACGGATCGGAATAGCAAATGAGCTCCAGCTTCCAATCGGCTTTTTCAAAGGCCTCTAAGTGGCTAGAAGAAAGGAGGTGGATCCTGAAAATAAAAAACTCTTCGAGCAATAACGACATGGGCGTACCTTATTAATTGATACCTAATAATTATGCTTCAATTTTTTTATTACATCTAATCTTGAAAAATATTTCACGCTATATACATTGTTCTTACAGAGACACTAATTGTAGAAAATTTATAAGTTCAAGAAGAATTACTCGTATCAATTTTTAATTTTTTTTTTTATATTTTATTGATTGAATCTAGAACTACAATAAATTGTAGAATTTTTTCATAAAGTTAAAGAGGCTATTGCTTATCTCAAGTAGTTTGAGCCGAAAAAAGTTGAATGCTTTATTAACGTAATAAATATTTAAAATGAGAAAGTTTATAATGTAATTCATTTAAAATAACATATTTAAGTGTCGCTTCGAACAAGTCATTTAGTTACATGAAAAAAAAAAAATAATAAATATTTTTATCTCTTAGTGTAGGATAGTATTATGATGATAAGTATGTGAAACCATGATGAAATCATCACATCAAGTAGCTTCCGATTTTTCTTCAGCTACATCGTCGGAACGTGTTTGTCTATACGCATCAAATAACAAGAGAAACCCGGTGTACGGGCTGTTAACACGTGAAGCATGTGAGACAAGTATAGAGCTCATTTGCATTCTATAATTTTCTTAATTACTACTGAAACGGGATATTCGAGTGACCGTTAAAGATGGTGACAGAGGACTACGTAACATGTAAAACTCCTGTATGGGAATAAATTTCAATCATCTCTCCATTAAAAGTAAATTTTTTATTTATTTTATAATCATAAATCATGATCAATAACAAATGAAATTATTTATTAAAACATGATATTACTGTCATTTTGAGACATGTTGATAGTTGATATCGATATAAGATTCACCAGTGGTTGTAAAATGGTACTATGTTGCAAATAAAATTAAATTGAGCAAGTGATTAGTGGATTTAATGATATGACTACGCGGTGAATACGAGTATGTTAAAAGAAGCAATATGAATGGATTTGCTTGGTTTAACAGCGGCTTTATATAAACTTCATTAAATGAACTTTATATTATATACGAATTACGAGGAAATCATTTATGCACAGGTTTTATACAAGCAAAGCGTGGCTTAATTTGATTCAATTAATTCACATTGCAAACGTTTACACCACGTCTAATTAAAATCAACCTGAAAAGCGAGAGCATCAACTCAAGATGATATAATTAGCTAATGATCTTGTTAGATATTTTTTACACTTTTTAGACATCTTTAAATGATCTAAATTTATTTATGTGGTTTGAAGATAAATAATGCAATCAATAGGTCAGTTCATAGATTTTAAAGTATTTATAATCGATTCACCAATAATTTCTCTTCTTATCAGTGAAATAGTCTTATTCCATTTACGTGGAGATTCAATCCTTAAGATTGATGATTGTACGAATCATTACATTATGGTTATGGTAATGAATTGAACAATAATTATTATGCTCGGATTATGGCCGATTGATTTGCGTATGTAGAAATGAATCACTGCTCTAAGTGTTCTAATGAACTAATTAGGAACATAATGGGGAATTTCGAATTTTTGATTATTTGATTCTTATAGGATCTAAAAAATTCAACTTTCACATATTTATCGTATTAGTCATTTGCTGTCGTGGTTAGTATGATTTAATCAATATGTGACGTCAGTGAAATGGCGTAATATGAAGCTGGTGTAGGTGTATGAAGAATTATTGTAATTTTATTACGAATATCTATTTTTTTCTACAATTTATAAATTTAATGGCAAAAAAATTGAATGCCGAAATATTAATGACGAATCAATATATTCATGGGAGAAAAGATAAATTATCCTTATTATGAAATGTTGTTATCCTTAAAAGATTAAGGGTTATTAAGGGAGTATTCTGGTCTAGAAATTTGAAAAATCCGAATTTTTTTTTTGCATATTTACAAAGTTTAGACCCTTAAAAATATGTCCTTAAGTGGATTTTTCAAAATTCGAATTATTTTCGGAGATACAGTGGATTTTGTGACGCAGCTGCTTCTGTTTCTGCTTCTTCAAAAGAAGGCAGCACAGCTCGATTAGCAGAAAGAACTTCGCAAAACATCGAGTGGGAAGTAGAAGAAGGCCCAATTTATGGATCTGGGATTCGCGATTAATCCAAAGTGAATATTAAATATTATTATGAGATATTTAACTGAAATTGTTTCTCAAACTTTAAACGCGATTTTCTCAAAACTACTTTTTTAAAGTGGTTGACATGTATCTCAAGTTCTACCCCACCGATTCCTTTGAAATTTGGTGGAAATTTGCTTTATATACCTCTCTATCGCGTCTGCTTTGGAATTTAAAAAATTTTAATTTGGAGTATTTTTAAAAAATTCGAAAAGGTCAAAAAAGAGGGGTAAAAAAAAAAATTGATATTTTATGTCGACGCCATTTTGTAATTTTTTTTTTTCCTGGCTAAGGTCAACGCGATAGCGACATCTTTACAGATTGAGAATTTTTCAATTTTTTTTGTTTCATATTACTGCAAGGGCTGGCATGTCAACCAGAGTGCACCGTTTTTCTGTAGCCCCCACTTCACCGGCCTGTAATTTGTCAAATTTATCATTTTTTTTTTTTACGATTTTTTTTTATATTCTTGAAATGTCAATAAACATCATATAAAAAAACGGATGGTAAAAATGTTTTTCATTTTTTTTTATGTTAGTTTGAAAAATGCCTAAAATTTAGGCTTCTAGACCAGAATACCACCTTAAGGACTTGATAACTTTTCTTGATGAAAATTTCTTAACGAATTATCTTCCATTTTAAAATTAGGACTTGAAACATGCATGCTTGGATTTACTTAATCTTTTTATTTTGTATAAATTATCTTGATATTTCAATCACCCGTTTTAGCATTACTAAGAATGCACTAAAAAAAATAATATATTATGAAATATTTTGACACGTTATGTTTTCTTTTATGACCCAGTAAATGCGAGGATAAAAAAAAATAACAACTATGCGCATCAATTGATGTTAATGTATACGAAGCCCACTTATTATCGAAGTTGCATGTCGTGTAGAGTGTGGAGCGCATTATATTTACGATACGAATCTTGACACGCAAATGCGCCTCTTCAATATTTTAAAGGACACCATTCAATCATGAGTCATGATTTTAATTATTCTATATTTAAATATCTGTAGACTTTTATGCACAAGTAAATAATTCCACTCGTGAGAGAGAGAGAAATTAAATAATTTAAATCATTATCTATTATCAAATAAAATTAATAACTTTCATGAATACTTAAAGGAATACGCATATCACAGTTGTGTGAATATATGGAATTCGTTGGATGATTTGCATTTATGATAAGAAGTTAATCCACGGTGACGCTATTCTTATCTTCAAACTTAAAGTACTCATACATTATAATTATGTGGATACATTATATCCACGTGGTATAGATTTCATGGTGTCATTACTCTTGGGTCCATTAAGGTGGCATAAAATTGCGATCACTGGGACCACACCTGGCGAGTGACTTAAATGATAGATTCCGTTATCTCAAGAGAAACTACCTCACTGAATCAATTTGTATGCTAAAGATTCATGAGCATTTTCGATTCAATTTTTTCATTATGTGTTTCTGTGCGCAATACTTAACATATAGCTATAAGTTAAAAGATACGCTACTTTCATAGATTGCACTATTAAAAAAATATTAGGTAGTTTATTTTTATAAAATCTTATATGATTTTCAATAATATTTTTTTTCTTTTAAACCCGTTCCTGCCTTTACGGTCATTTTTTTTTGCTAGTATAAATCTAATTCAAGTGGATGGTAATATTCCATCTTCACTAACAATTTGGGACAAATCGTCCCTGGAGCGTTAGGTCGATGGGTAAACCATCGAACTTGAACACTAGTTAGCTGGTGAATGCTAGTATCTGTTCGACTCAATTTTTAAGTATTAACGATGGAAAGCCACTGAGAATAAAGAGCAACTTTTTGAAAAAGTCCATGAAAAATTAACGGGTTTAAAAGAATCATAGTATCACGGTCGGAAAAATTAGTAGAAGTTAATATTTTTTTTTTTTTTTTTTCGAATTCTTATGAATGTCTGAATTTTTTTTTTTCATATTAATAATTTTTTCCCGCGAAAAAAATATATATGAAAAAAGATATAGATTGTAATAAAAAATTGTTAAAAAAAAAGTTAAGTTACTGGTTAAGAAACCTTAATGGTTAATATGCTTAAAAAATGTATTGAAAAATGCGAGCATTTGATTGGATGTTTCTATTTCTGATAATTATTTATAATTTTGTATTTCTTTCTCTAAAAATTTATTACTTTTTGTATTTATTATTTCTTTGCATTGTATTATCGACATAAATTTAGTAAAAAAGTCTAAGTATTATAAAACTGTAATTTTTTGTACTGTTTCCATACACAGGTGTTTTTACGACTCGATAGAATTCCTTATCAGACAAATAAATAAATAAATAAAAAGACCTATAACTTTTTAACACATTTTAATTAACTTATTTTATGGACTTTTTGTTGTTATTACGATTTACTATTTTTATATTGGTCACGACGAATTGTCTACTAGTTATTAATAGTAATATTTAATACGTAAGTTTTACTTCGTTTATATTATTATTTGAGTAAGTCATTATCTAGATCAACGGAATGATAGACTGAACGACTGTAGTTCAATGAAGTTCAAAGACCGGAAATTATTTTTTATTGTAGTTTAATGACAAAAGATTATTTTTTTTTATAGAAATACAAAATTTATGTGATGGACTTTCCGGGAAACAGGTAGGATATATATTAAGAATATTTTATTTACGTTTAAAAATAATTCACAGATAAGAAATTAACGCAATGTTGAAAATAATATCACTGTTGTTGTTAATTAATTGTGTTTTTGGAAGTTGGGTTAATTATCCAGGGAGAAGATGCCATCCACTTGATGCGACGCTTGTAAGTATTATACTTTTTAATTGAAATAATTGAAATTATTCGATGGATCTTTTCTTATATGGTGTGCACATGATTCAGAGTGTTGTTCTGGAACTTGTTCTACAATTCCTAACAATGTCTTGAAGATCTGCGATCAATTACCAGAAACAACTCCTGCAACAGATAAGTGTAATTCAGTGGGGACAAACGTAATTATTCGTTATTATTCGAATTTAAGTCAAGTATTATATTCTTAAAAATATCTTTGTTACAGTGTTTGTTTCACAATCATTGTTGTTCCAAAACATGTTACATGAGAAAAAGCATGTTCCGACCTGGTTTGTGTATATTCTCAAAAATTGATGTTCCATAAATGAAATATTTGTGATTTCATGTATTCTTGTTTTAAAAATGGTAATAATAAATACAAGAACAATCATTAAGAGTTACATAACTTTTTTATTCAAAATCTGTATTTGGTCGGAAAAATAACTTTGATGCATAACTATATTTTGTCACAATTTTTTTACTTTTAACATCATAATTCGTAAAACAATGATATTTTCTTTAAGAAGACATTGGAGATTTTTTTTACTCAAACGGTTTTGTTAAATTCAGATAATAATCAATAAACAATAAACTAATTTAAATGATCTGATAATTTTCACGGAGTCCATTTTGTTAGTAATAATCCTTTCAGTTACATTTTTTTTTAATTGTTCTATTGAATATGAAAGTACTCAGTTATATGAATCCGAATCAGATAAAAAGAAAATCGCTGGTCTTTAGAACATTTTTCAGACTACAAATGATAACGAATAAGGTGAAGGCCGGTATATACTCGCGCGAACCGCGTTAAAATGGGCTCGTAAGAACGTCAAACGCGATAATTAGACGCGTGCAGCAGTATGATTTAGCACCATAAGTTGTAGCTGTAAAGAATCGTCGCTGATAAATCTTTAAGCGTGAGTCTCTCAGGGTCGTAGAAGGACCTTATGCTCCAAGCTGTTAAGTATATAATAGCGATACATCAAAACTACATGCTACTGAAGATTGAAGACGAGCCACTACTTTGACTGAAAATCACATTATTGTATGCTAGATGTGTTTCATAATCTATGTGCATTAGCATCTACAGTCATAACTTTGAGTTGGTGCATTAACTCAGTTATGTGGAATAATTTTTCTCTTTGACGTATATAATTATTATTTTAATTTACACTTTGATAAAAAATATATTTTATAACTGATTAATAATATAAAGAAAAGGAAATTTGCTATTGTTGATAATTTATGAGGAAAAAAGGCAAAATTGATGAAATTAAGTAACACAATTGTGTAAATGTAAACGTAAAAAATGGACTTATTTATAAAAATAGTTGCGAAAAAAAAAATAAAAATAGCGTTTAATTGTTTTTATTGTGAGATTGCGGGAATGTAACAGATTAAAATGAATGCATCTTTCAAACACTTGATGTGTGGAAAATAAATTCGGCTAATATGAAGATATCTTTAAATAAAATTCATAAAAAACATGTAAAATTAATTTTCTATAAAAACTTGATGTCACTCAGAAAATTTTAATAAATAGAATAATTCGTCGCACTTGAAGCTAGGCAAATTTTTTCACTTATAAAACCTGCGATTTTATTAACTGAAACTTTCAATGCTCATTTCAAATTTTTTTTTTTTCATATCAATTATTATTCATTTTTGTACACAGAAAAAAAAGTTAACTTGAATCAAGTAAATAACTTTGAAAAACATTAGCTTCTTGATTTGAGTAAAAAATTCTTAAACTACACGGAGAAAAATTAATTATACTACCTACTATACAAAAATAGTAACTCCTACTATCTAAAATGGTAATAAAATTAATTCGTAACAAAATAATAGGTGGTATCATTGAAAATTTTAATAGTTACTATTAATAATGGTAACGATTACTATCAAAAATAATAATTGTAATT